GAACTTTATTGTTACCGATCTCTCTTCTTCTTCATCTTTTCTGCCTACGACGCCTGCACCCGTCATTAACTCCAATCAAATTCTATCGTACTCTACTGACGTAGAGCTAAAAGACAATTTAATCACTAATTTAATACCCCACAGTTTAGACTTACAACATAGCGTGTCTTATTTTCCATTGCCGGATTTGACAGGAGGTGATAGGAGCAAATCGGGAGAGGAAACAGAGGAAGAAAGTATTGGATCTGTAGACGATGAAGATTTGGAAGAAGTTAGTAGGCAAGAAGAAACTGGAATAACCAGAAGGGCTAGAAAGGAAGGAGTCCAAGGCGTAAAATTCTACCCGATCGCATTAGAGGAGCCATTGCCGATTTCTGTTTGGCAGCCGAGACCAAATGAGAAGGATGATTTGCATATGAGAGTAGTAATCAATACAGCAGAATTGGCTAATTTAGGTTGCTTAAGTGGGAGTTGGGTAAGTTTGAACGAGAAAATTAATATCATTGGTGAGGATTGGAGCTAATTTGCGAATAGGATGAAGAATAAGCGTCGATTAGGCCAAGCTAATTGTAAATATGCATGCTTTTTCAAAGGCATTGATTTGTAATCCACTAAATCAAAATAGCAAAACACACAACTCTAGGCTTTGTCAAGTCTATGGAGCAAAGTTGTCAAAAACACAGTATGCCCCCTTTCCCCTCACACTTTTTTTTACTCTATGCTTTTATGTATTGCCGATCTCACTCTTTCGTCTCATCATCTTTCAGCTCTCCACCGTTGGCTTACATGACACCACTTCTTTACTTCAATCTCGGACTTAATGAAGTGAGCTCTTCGAATAAAATGATTGTAATAAAACCAATGTCTAAGCCGCAAGATCCGCCTCCCGTAGCAGACAGCGTCGTTGTTGCAAGGGTCGCATCTCCTGCTACATCAGAACCGATCTTCTTATCCGCACTGTACGAAACTTTTAAGAGATGGTTTGTTGAGGCTGAGCGAGTTGTTTGTGAAGGAGACATTGTTTCTATTCCATTTGATGGTGAGTTAATTTACAGTCATCATGACAGCAGCAATAGTAATATGATTATTAGCAGTGTTTTGTTTGTTGTATATATTTTACGGCCTATGAATTAATTCTTCTCTCTTTTCCCTAAATTTAATTAGAGGAGACTGTCCGTTTACGGCCGAAGAAACAGGGCAGCGAAGATCTCGAAGAAATACAAATACCGACTGCACCTAGTCAATCAACGACTGTTCTGCATTTTAAAATTACTGAAGTCAAATCGTCCGTCAAAACTTCTCGACACAGACCGGGTAGACGTATAAATCAAAACAAAACCCTTCTAAACCAAGCTGGTCTTGAGCACTCTCGTGTTCCGTCCATCAGACATTACTACAATATCAAAAGCGATGCTCCTTTATGTCCAGGGTCAGGATCACCATTAACATCTCGTGGAACACCGTATTCCAAGCTATACGATCTTGTGTCTTCATGTCTCGATCCAAAAGCAGCATCCCTGAACCTTACGTGTACCGTACTTGTACATGGACCGCGCGGATGCGGAAAAAAAACCGTTGTAGAATGGGTTGCTGAGAGTGTCGGTGTTCATTTGTACGAAGTTAATTGTTTTGACTTTGCAGGTGAAAGTGATACTAAGACTGAACAATCTATTCGCTCGAGATTTAACAAGGCTCTTACGTATTCGCCTTGTATTTTTTTGCTCAAGCATATCGATGCACTAGCAAGGAAGTCAGTTGCACTTGAAACAGGGCAAGAGCCAAAAGTTGCTATCATGTTGCAAGGTTGTTTTAAACAACTTCTCGAAGCTTTCAGGCGAATTGGACACCCGGTACTAGTAGTTGGTACAACTGGGGACTATGACAAAATACCGGCTAGTGTCGTGGGCTGCTTCAGACATGAAGTTGTATTTGAAGCTCCGGAAGAACAAATGAGGCTGGCTATGTTGCAGCAATTGACCAAAAACACTCCACTTGCACCCGATGTCTCATTGCGTACGTTAGCTACACAAACAGCGGCGTTAGTGGCCAAGGATTTAGCTGGGCTAGTAGCTAGAGCAGGTTTGGCGGCTAATGAGCGCATCGATAAGGCAATTAGAACGAGTGGGCAAAACGTAGACGATACGGATATAATAAAGGCTGGCATTACGTTGACAATGGCCGACTTCGATACAGCTCTTGGTCAAACACGCGCTTCTTATTCTGACAGTATTGGTGCCCCTAAAATTCCTAACGTTACGTGGGATGATGTTGGTGGATTGGCAGAAGTTAAGAGTGACATTCTTGATACTATACAATTACCACTTGAGCACCCGGAATTGTTTGCAACCGGGATGAAGAAGAGGACGGGCATACTGTTATACGGCCCGCCTGGCACTGGCAAGACGCTGCTCGCAAAAGCTGTTGCTACCTCGTGTTCTCTCAACTTTTTTTCAGTTAAAGGACCCGAATTACTTAATATGTATATTGGTGAATCAGAGGCTAATGTTCGAAGGGTGTTCCAGCGTGCACGTGATGCTAGGCCATGCGTTATTTTCTTTGACGAGTTGGATTCCGTTGCCCCCAAAAGAGGAGAGAAGGGTGATTCTGGTGGCGTTATGGATCGTATTGTTAGCCAACTGCTGGCCGAATTGGATGGAATGGGACAGGCTGGAAGCGCATCCGATGTGTTTGTTATTGGAGCTACAAATAGGCCTGATTTACTCGACCCTGCATTACTAAGACCTGGAAGGTGAGCGCATGGATAATGCTATTAGAACGTGAACAACTTACAAATTGCTATCCACTACTCATGCAGGTTTGATAAACTGTTATACCTTGGCGTGAATGAGGATCACGAACAACAGTTGAAGGTCATTCAAGCATTAACGAGAAAGTAAGTTTCTCTACATGTTAACATTGCGAACGTATTCAAGGGATTTTTATATACACGCTTTAACCTTTTTATATAGGTTCCGATTGCATCCATCGCTAGAGCTCCGTAAAATAGCAGAGAATTGTCCCTTTAATTACACGGGGGCCGATTTTTACGCTTTGTGCTCAGATGCCATGCTTAATGCGATGTCTCGTACAGCAGAGTCAATTGAAGCTAAAGTTG